TCCATCTGCCTGTTCTGCTCCCCACTTTGTCTCTGGTGAATCCTCTCATCCCTACACCTCTGGCCTGTACCCCAGTTTTTGTGTGCATAAATAAATAGATCTTTTTAAAAATGAAATTAAAACCCTCCCTCCATGTGGCCCACCTCTCACAGCACTGTCACCTATGAGTGAAAAAGCCAGGCTGCCCAATGCAGCTCCTCATCTTTAGGTTCAAGGGCTCCCTGTTCTTCCAAAACAACTCTCAGTGAGGTCCCTGGTCTCCCCCAAGCTAGCTCCTTTCTTTTCTGACTAATGAAGAGAATCACAACAACCCAAGTATAAATCTCTGAGTTCTGTTCTTCATTTTAAAAATCTATAAATCTGGGCCCTCCCTGGTGGCCCAGCGGGTTAAAGCACAGCACTCAGAAGCTAAAGCCACTTCAGCATGAGTTCGATCCCCACCCTGGAAGAGACCCATATGGCACAACCTGCCCACTGCTCCCCTCAGCAGTGTACTTTGTCAGTCAGCCTGTTCTGCTCCCCACTCTGTCTCTGGTGAATCCTCTCACCGCCCCTGCACCTCTGGCCTGTACCCCAGTTCTGTATACATACATAAATAAATCTTTAAAAAAAAAGTTCCTAGGTGAATCTAACAAGACAGGTTTAGAAACTACTGCATTAAGGGACATTTACTCATTTTATTAGAAGTTATAGCACAAGATTCCTTTAAATAGCTACATCCTCTGCCTGACCCATTAAATATATGATTTGTAGAATTTGGTTTATCTAAGATAACCTATATTATTATTTACTAGAAACCTGTCTTCTACACTAAGCAAAGTCCTCTACGAGTGGCTACACTGAAAAGATTATATAGTAAGTTAACAAATGTCTATTAAGGAACCACCTTACCTCATATTTTCTATAGTTCACCAGCAAAGCTAGGAGGACAACAGCGTCATACCCATGCTCCCTACGACTTGGGGGGTGGGAGAGTATCTGTAACAAGAACCAAAAATGTGAGACTGCTAACTCCTAATTCCTGGGAATGCAGACAGAGAAAATTATGGAGGTGGTTTACCCAAATGTGAAAGCAGTGACTAGGGAATTGGCCTACCTGTAAAATTGCTTCAAATATACTGTTGATCATTACATACTCCAGGATAGTGTTCTGGCTGATGTTATCTGTCACCTGAATACAATGAAAGGCTTTTAAAGTCTACACAGAGGCACTCTGATAGCTCATGTATATCTCCTCCCCTAGCATATAAAAGAAACAGAAATGTTAAAATATTCTACTAGCTACTAAACCTTCCATTACCACTCCTGAAGCCAGCACCAGTCTTACAGACACCAGAAGGGTAGAAAATCAGGAAGCTAAAACTTTCTAAATCATTGAATTTCTCATATCCTCACAAAAGCATTTGTTCAACAGCTTCTTAGGTTTCATTCCTCCGGTACAAAGAAAGCACTTTATAAATTCAGAAGCCCTGGAGTGGAAGCCCTGGAAGTACTACTTGATGTAGAGAAACACCCTGCCCTCTTCCTATAGAACGGTATAGGACAGCTTCCACTTACATAATAAAAGTCAGAAATAAGTAAAAAAAATTCAGTATCACAAAACTGTTTTCAAACAAGACCAGAAGAGAAGGAACAAATCTAAAAATCAAAAAAAGAGAGTAGTTCTCCACGAATGGCACTTAAGTGATAAATATCACAGATCCTACAGGTTAAAATGCCAACAGCTGCTCCAGGGAACAACTTCCAGGAAGTGAAGACCATATAACAACTTTCTTCCTCTATACATTGAATACCTCGGTAAAAAATTTTCTTTTACTGCCTAACTTTGGCCAGAAATATTCAAATAATTTTGTCCTTGCTGTCAATTAATATCCTTGACAAAGAAACCAATAGCTGGGTCACTTACAGTCACTAAGCAAAGGAGAAGTTTCAGGCATAAACTCTTCAGACTTTCAGAACCTTCTGCACAAAGCAATGAATCCAAACTCTCCATCAGGTTCTGAGAAAGAGAACCATTAAGTATTAAACCATTTCAAATAATTCCATTGTGTCTTTGTCGAGGGGTTATGTTACACAGGATAATGTGAGTAACACACAATAAAACACACACACAAAGAAACACCACCATTCCCTGAGGCCTAGGCCTTGCAAGATTAGAGAGAGAGACTACCTGGAGGCACAGGGGTTAGGTCTCAGCTTTATCAAGTTATCACCAGCCACTGCAGCACGAGCTTGATTCCCACCCAGGGAGCTGACCTACATGCGCAGCAGAACTCTCCTGTCTCACACACTGCTCCCCTCAGATCCACCTGTTCTGCTCCCCACTCTGCTCGGGTGAATCATCTTGCTCCCTGTACCTCTGTCCTGCACCCCAGTTCTTGTATGTCTAGTATGCATACATAAATAATAAATCTAAAAAAAAGATTAGGGAGAGAGAAGGCAGACATTAAAGTCTAGTTATTTTAGGGAAAATTCTTTAGAACAATAAAGAATTCACACTACCCAAACAAATGAATGTTTGCAGTCTATCATCCTCATATAAACCTTTAGGTTAGAATGAAATAATAATATTAGTTAAATTAAATTATGTACATAAGTTTAAAAATATACAGTAATTAAAATAAAATTTGATTAAATGAATTTAGCATAAACATATGGGTAAGTTCAAGGTTAGTAGTAATAACTGAATGACTGTCGATACATTTCATTAGTTTTTGATAAAGAGAATATATCACTTGATGCAGGTACACTGAACAGACAACAAAGAAGACAGAATCACCACAGTCTATTACTGGCCATATGCACTGTTCAGCAAAGCATGTTCGTGTCCATCTGGTCAATGCTGATAAATAGTATACTTGGAGCTTATCATTTGTACTAACAACCAATTGATAGATCCAAAGTAATCAAAAGATGAAACCTGGCCTCTCTTGGCCTTCCTTGGCACAAGGAATTAGTCTCAGTACTATGAAGCTACCAGCAGCCACTGTAGCTCAAGTGCCATCTATATCTCTCCAGTCTCTCCCACTGCTCCCAGTGTATTTCATTGGGTCTGCCTATTCTGTTCCCCATTCTGTTTCTGGTGAATCCTCTCATCTCCCCAATCTACTTCTTGCTTGCACCCCAGCTCCTATATGAAAAAAATAAATAAATCTTTAAAAATAAAAGAAAAAGAAACCCTTAGAAGCTACAACAGAAGTAGGAAGAAAAGCAGTATTTTACATTAATGAAGGAGGAGAAACAATGAAGAATAAGGATATAACATGCTGGAAGAGCAAATGAAGATTCAAATAAGCTATTCAGTTCAATTCAACGAATATATAGGCTCACTATATGATAATAATTGTGCCTTCAAAAGCATTTAAGAAAAAAATATGGCAATGACTTTTAGTGGTCACCAATTCTCTCTTATTTTTAGCCCATTTAGAGTATAAAATAAGTACAGTTTTCATTCAATAGCTACTATGACAGAAAAACACATGAAGGAAGGAAATTAGCAAAGAAGTCACCTATTGCAGAATGCCTCAGGGTGGGTCATATATTGGTGACAGATGAGGCTGCTGAAGTAAACAGGGAACAGATCTTTGAAGTCTTATATCGTTAACTAGGGGATTTGATCTTTATCCTGTTAGTGACAGTAAACTAATGAGAGGTTTTAAAGGCAAAAAAGATTTGAGTATAAGTGTAGGGTAGGTACAGGTGACGTATTTAAAGATGGTGCCTAGAGGAAAGGTGACAAATGAAGACTAATCTATTAATTTTCTGAAAATAGTTGCCCATTTTTTATTTACCTTTGTATCCCTAGTGCCTGGCATATAGGAACCAAACAAATGTTTATCAAAAAAATGAATGAAGGCATCACTGCAACAGTTCTGGTGAGAGATAACAGGGATACAGACAGTCAGGGGGGAAAAAGAAAGGTCTGAGAATTATGAGCTGAGATAAAATGAACTGAGCTTGGTGACCATAGATATGAAACATGAGGGAAAGGAAAGAATCAAGGAGGACTCCTGGGTTTCCAGATTAAGGAACTATGAAGACAGGTGTCCCCATTCTTACAGAGAATGAATAAAGAAGAAAAAGGAGTTTCAGCTTATCTTAAGGCTGTGTGGTGGTGCTGAGAAAATAAAGAAGTCTCACACCTCTCCCAAGAAAAATAAATGTAAGAAAAAAGGATAGGCTGGCTGTCCTGACATATAAGGTGGATGAGAGTGGTAAAATCATTGCCTTCATTAGAAGTGCCCATCAGAGGAATGTGGTGTTAGCATTTTTATGGCCAGCCACTCTGACAAACGTTGTGGTAAATGTTGTCTGACCTATTGTTTAAACAAACCAGAAGACAAGTAATTGCATAGGGGTTAATAGAAGAAATCAACTAACAACAAAAAAATCTGATAAAATCAAAGTCACTGTGTTAAATAAGCAAGCTCAACTGTTTAAAACTAAAGTTACCTTGTATTATTAATTTGTTACTTCATAAGCATATGAAAAAACAATGATCACATGGTATATATTATAAAATACACTGCTAGCCTTTATTCTGCAGAGAAAGTATGCCTCAATTCAAATTTGAATTTCAAATATTCCTTTACTCAGATAAACCAAATCTGTAAAATAAAAACCAAATTCAAGGCCCCATTCAATCATGTGTATCTATGTGTCTAAATCCTTTATTATGTCTGTCTGCACATGGAATCCTTAAGCTGCCGTCAGAAGCCAACCAGCATACACACAGTTGCTGTTTATACCTCACCTTCATACACAGCTCCGCCTTGTCAAAACCCATGAGCATGTTAATAATGTCAAACCCAGACGTAGACTTATTTTTCTGATGGACTCCTCGAATGAGAGCACACAAGGTCTGCAGAAAAGAAAAGAATTCTTTCTAGAAAAGCAGTCTCAAAATGAGAAGGGCACTGGACCTATAAACTCATTGCAACTTCAGAAACTCCTTCTTTCTTACATTCGAGTGTTCTATTATTCTGAGACAGTCTAAGTCTTAATCTGTGCCAAATCCAGAAATTATAAACAAATAACAACTGAAACTATCATTATCCTTTGTTTGTTTTGGTCATCCTCTTAAAAAAGTGCACTGCAGACAAAGACTAGAAAGTAATATTTAAAAAAATAAATAAATCTTGAGTTTGAAACATGAGACTGGTGGAAGTTTTCCTTTATTTATATATGTTTTAAGATTCAGAGTTTATCATTTCTAATAATTATTTTAACATAACTACAAAATCCCAAAAGGCTTCATGCCAATTTATTTCCATTAAACTAAACAGTTTATAACACATGCCCCCAGTGTAAACCACCACAATTAATGGAAGTGTAATTTCCAACTTTCAATGCATCCCTGCAACTTTGGAGGTCAAAATGTGGAACTCAGTATAACAAAGGTTAACAAGGCTCCAGGATAAGCATGGTTCTTCTTTCTGGGGCATCAGCTCAAGAAGTAATTTCTCTATACTACAGATGAGAAAACTAGGGCTCATGAAGTAATCTGCAAATCGAATAAATTAGAAATGTAATCCTTTATGCTGTCATGGATTCTCCAATCACTAACCTCAGGTACTCAGCTCAATTTAGGCTACACAACGGCTACTAGATGATAAACTTTGGAATTTTGTTTATCATTCATTAAAAAAACTGATTTCTATAGTTCTATTTGCTAGACACTGTTTATACACAAGAAACAAAGTATTGAATGAAACTTTCAAGGCTTTTGCCTTCAAAAGCCTATCAGACATCCCCACATTGTACAGAACATAAACAGTAATTCATGAAACTGTCACTGAAAGAATCTTCACCTTGATCATGCCACTTGGCATTAACAATACTGATTCTTAAATGTTTTAGTTACAGACCTTTTTGAACAAACATAAAAAATGTACATATACACAGATATTACATATAATTTTAGGGAGTAAAAAACCCTCCAAAGTCTCAAATTAAAAACTCCTGATTGAATAAGAAAATACAATAGTACTATCTTCTGATTTATTTTATAGATGATGCATCCTTGCCTCAGTTTCTACTCTATCTCTTCCTTTCCTCAAGTAATAATAAGTATTCTACCAAGCAATCTGCCTTGACATTAGATCAAGTCCTACAAATGGACAAGACTGTTATTATAAGCATTACTTTGTTTAACCAGGAAGATGGCTATGCCATATGAAATTACTTTAAAAAAAAAAAAAACAAAGAAAAAGAAAACCATCATGCGGGGCTTCCCTGGTGGCCCAAGGAATTAACTCTCAGCACTATCAAGCTATCAGCACCCACTACAACAGGAGTTCAATACCCGGTCAGGGAACTGACCCACATGGGACAGTCCCCTCACTGCCCCCCTCAGCAGTGTGTTTCAGTGGATCTGCCTATTCTGCTCCCTACTCTCTGGTGAATCCTCTCACTCCCCGTACCTCTGGCCTGTACTCCAGTTCTTATATGCATAAATAAATAAAAATAAATCTTTAAACAACAAAAAGAAAGAAAACCCTCATACCTAGGGAAATTCTAGGTTCCTCACATTCCCACAGATGTATTATAATTCCTTCCTCCTATTAAACAAGACTTTCCAGTCTCCCAGCCTTGTACCTGCAATGCATTAACAACTCGAATTGGATGTTCCTCTCCCAGAGCCTGTATGCAGTGTTGAAATAAGCAATTGATATTGTCCTTGATCTTCATTAACTCCTCCCCATCAAGAGATTCCAGCTTGCCTTCTAGATATTCTAAATTCACCTGCCAAACAAACAATAAGGACCTGAGTGCAGTTTTAGTGACACTTCGAACAGATAAGGAGGCAAATTCAGCTGCCAGGAAAATTCATTGATAGCAACAACTCTTACCTTCATGAGGAAGAGCTCTTCCCAAAATCGAGGACTGTACTTACTAGGGTCCTCTGTCTGAAACCAGAAGATAAGCAGGTTCAACATCCCCAGCTAACACCAAAGCATTAAGAATACATTTGAAAAGTACACATAATCACATATAATCAATCTTACCTTTCAAAATTAACTTTGAAAATACTTGGTCATGGGCCCTCTCTGGTGGCACAATGGGTTAAAGTGCAGCACTGTGAAGCTATCCGCAGCCACTGAAGCACGAGTTCGGTCCCTGGTCAGGGAAGTAACCCACATGGCCTGGCAGACCTCTACTGACCATCCACTGCTCCCCTCAGTAGTGTATTTCAGTAGATCCTCTTGTTCTGCTTCCCACTCTGTCTCTGGTGAATCCTCTCAACCCTGCCCCCCCACACACACACACACATCCCTCTGGCCTGTACCTCAGTTCTTGTATGCATAAATAAATCAATCTTTAAAAAAAAAAAAAAAAAAAAACTTGGTCATTTTAAACTGCTATAATGGGAAAGAGTACAATAGTTTTGGGTTTTCCTTCCCCCAAGTGGAAGACATTCTGCATGGACATAGATTCTCTGCACTGAGAGCTAAATGACAGTGCACAGAATTTCAGTGTCATTTTGTTATTGATACATGAAAATCAGGAGACTAATAAAACTAGCATTTCCCATCCTCACTGCTCACTCAAGCAGGTGTGGGGGGCAAAGGGGCTCACCAGAGACGGACTGGGGAGCAGAACAGGCAGATGTACGGAAATACACTTCTGAGGGGATCAGGAGGCGGTCAGGAGAGGTCGGCTGGACCAGAGGGTTAGCTCACTGGCTGGGGATCAAACTTCTACTGCAGTGGCTGTCGATAGCTTAATAGTGCTGTGTCTTTAACCCCTTGTGCCACCAGAGAGGCCCCAAAAGATAAATCTTTTTTTAAAAAATTCATTTTTCCCCTTTTTACCCAGCTCATGGCAAATTATAAAAATAATATAATAATGATCTATGTTCATTAACACATGATCATAATTCCTATCAGGGAAAAAGTTTATTCTCATCCTCATTTCTATATCTCACCCTCTGAAGAACCGGCAGAGGTAACATTATTCTCATTTTGGAACAAGAAACTAAGGAGTCAAGCTGAGAACTCAGGGCTTCAGGCCTTACCATAAAGATCTCATCATACATCAGCACTACTTTCTCCTTGAGGGGTTTTTTGGAGGCTGAGGACTTCCGGAGCAAACCCCCTCGTTTCTCTACCTGTGCCATGGTGAGAGAATCTGTGAAAAGAAAGTTCACAATCAGTGCTAGAAATGTTTTTCAAGCATTCTGGAGAGTCTCTCTAAACACCGCTCAATGAGGGCTCTCTCCTATGGTGCAACGAGTTTAAAGTTCAACACAATGAAGCTGTCCACAGCAACCACAGCATGAGTTCGCTCCCCAGCCAGGGAGCTAACTCACATGGCATGGCAGGCCTCTCCTGACCTGCCTGCTGCTCCCCTCAGCAGTGTATTTCAGTCAACCTGCCTATTCTGCTCCCCATTCTGTCTCTAGTAAATCTTCTCACCACCACCACCCCATCTCTGGCCTGTACCTCAGTATGCATAAACAAATAAATCTTAAAAAAAAAAAAATACCTCTCAATGGGAAATTTTTTAGGAAGAAAAAAATGATAAATAACTGTGCTACAGAATTTGTGTCTCCAACACCTCCTCCCCATCAGGTAATGTCAAGGTTTAAATCATTAGTTGGCCTACAGCACAACACATTTTACATCCTTAAAACATGCCAGTGGAATGGCTTGAAGAAAATCCAAACCAAGCAGGAAAGTATAACTAGCTCCATCTATAATGGGCCTGGCTATATATTTAAGGTTGATGGAAGAAAGGCCACAAAGCACACACTGCCCATAGACTGATGGTGAAGTTAAATTCCACGTATTGATCGAGCTTAGGCCCATTAAGGCAGGAAGTGTGCTGCAGACTGATGTGCTCCATTGATTTCCCCAAAGAAAGTAGAGTCCTCGTCACAGCAAAGTACTTGGCCTTCACTGCCTCATAAATCACACTGCACTTGACTGTCTTCAAAAATTCCTCCAGAAAGAGACCCAAGGCAGAAAACAACAGTTAAAATGGCCAAAAATTAAATTTGATTTCAAAATAACTGAATATAACAATATATTCCTTTCAAACTTATATATATTTCTAACACTACTAAAGATCAAACTTGTGTATTTTTCAATTATCAAAGTAGTTCCATGAATCATGCCCAAAATTTTCCATCTTGCTTCAAAGAATTCGCATTTTTTTGAAGTATGAACTAGAAATGCCACAAGTCTCCCCTATGGATTTATACTTATTACCTTGTTTTTCTACAGTCTTTCTATTATTGACAAAATTCCTCTTTCTATATTCTAGTCCCTAGTTGTGAAACCTAATCTCATGCATTGGCAAGTATGAGAGGTTGCAAGGAGCCTGATTTTACTTCCAGAAATATCTAAAACAACAGAATAAAATTAATTTTGTTCAAAGACTTTTGGAAAACTTTATTTCTAATCAAAATTTTGTTTAAAGAATAGATGCATCCAGTAAACCAAAAGATTAATTTCAAACACTGACTGTCTTGAATATGTATAGCCAAAAAGGAGATTTTGGTTATTTGAGTAAATAACCAAAACAGAAAATTTCCCAACTAGAGATTAAGCATCTTTAGTCCAGGAACTACATCTTACATTTTGTCTATAAGCATGTGACTCATGATAATTGCTCAGTGCATGTTCATCACTGAATGATTCTGAAATATAGGAAAGGGGTGGTGTTAAAAAAAAAAAAAAACCCAAAAGTAGATGACTGGATTAAAAAGATGTGGTACATATACACAATGCAATATTATTCAGCAACCAAAAAAAAAAAAAAGAAACACATGTCTTTTGCAGCAACTTGGATGGAGCTGGAAAAGATCATGCTTAGTGAGATAAGCCAGAAAGAGAAAGAAAAATACCAGATGGTTTCGCTCATAGCAGGAGTATAATGGACCAGGCGAGAAAATAATAAGAATAATGTACAGCCATATACCAGAGACATTTTGTGGGGGTAGAGTGGGGAATGGGATCAAAAACAGCCGGGGGGGAAGAGCTCGGGACTATGGTGATCGCACACCAGTGATTTGGTGATGGGAAACCCATGGGGATTACAATTGAGATGAAAAAAAAAAGTACAAAATGATGTAAAAATAAACTGTTATATTAATTTAAAAATAAATAAATAAATAAATATGATGGACAAAAAATAAATAAACTATTGTATTATTAAAAAAGAAGAAAAAAAGCCCTATTTAAATAAAGATAGGCCTATCTCCATTGAGGCCTCACTAAGCCATCAAATTCTATGACAGCTCAGAGAAAACTGAAGGAAAAATTATCAACAAAGAGGATTCTTTTGGGCAATTTACACTATATTGATCATAGCTTTCCCTCAAAGCATGAAATATACCTTTAGTTCAAAACATTGCTGTGTCTTTTAAACAGACTGTCAAGAGGAAGATGTCCTTATCAAGGGAAAATAAATTGGAAATCAAGAGGACCCTATCAAAATAAATCAAAAATAATGCAATTCTAAGCTTAGCACATATAGATCTTCTGTTTGCTCAGCTTCAACCAGTTGATTAGGGGAATAGCAGGAACCAGGTTCCTGGGTGGGAAAGCATGTTTACAAACGTCCTCCTCTGAGGATTTATAATTGGATTACAGCTAATCAATGCCCAACCCAAATCTAATAAACTCACTTTCTCTATTTCAGAATCAATACTTTCTAATAAGCAAAAAGGAATAGGCTAGTAGTAGAAAACAATTCCAATCCAAAGTGCCAAATTTCCTAAGAAATTAAATTCTTTTCATCATTCTACTTCCACTCAGAGCAGGGGAGGAATTCAACCATTGGCATCAACTCATTACTCTCTGTCATCACCTCAAGCAACTGGAATTTACCACTCAAGCTATCTGAGATCTGACCAGATACCAAATTCAGGGTCTCCTCCTGCCAACACCTCTATGCATGGAACACAGCAAAACAAGTGTTTCTAGGGTGGTGGACTCTAAGAAATATAGAGCTCTTACAAAAGCTTTTTTTGTTTTTTTTTTCTTTGAAGAGGGAGTGTCTCAGAAATTAAGCTTGCTCTCCTAAATTTGAAAGCAAAATATTTGAATGACAGAATAGTAAATTGCAGTACATCCATAATGTGAATGTAACATGTTTACATTTTCTTAATCCTTTCTTTCATTTCACAGTTCTACTGGCAGAATGATCACTAGCTGAGGGGCAGTTAGGCATAATGAAGAAAAGAAAGCAGCATTTTATGACTGTGCCATGATCTCTGCTGACAAGGTTTTTTAATTTTTATGGTAAGAAAGCAAATACAGATCACAGTAACCCCACAGAAAAGTTATTCATCATAGATTTTAACAGAGTTTCTCAGAAATGAGACACAGTAGACAAAGTATAAAAAAGAATCAGGTAACTTTTCAACAGTAATTTCATCTACTATCAAACTTCGGAATGGTTCCAAACTGCCCCCCAACTGAATGGTAAATCAATGAAGTCTTTTATTCCTAAAGCTCAGGACCTGCTGGTCCCATGACTTGCAGCACAACTTCTCTCTGAAAGGTCCAAGTCATACAACTTTTCAAAAACTGTATCTTAACCCTATACTCCTTAAATGCACATCACTTCACAATCCGAAAGGATGAAGTAGCCAAATATCGAGACTTTTAAAACCTAAAGCAAAAAACTCTTTCATGTCTAATATACAAGGAATTTTAGTTATACTTAGCCATTAATTGAATGTACTGCTTTCTTGAACACAATATATGCAAATTCCAGTATTAGAAAATTCACTTAACAGAAATGGACTCCAATTTCCAAGTTAACTACAATTAATTTGTAAAAACTCTGGGTATTGTACACTGAAAACTATAAACCACTATCAAAAGAAAATAAAAACACAAAGAATTGGAAAGACATTCTGTGTTCATGTATCAGAGACCGATATTATCAAAATGGTAATTCCACCTAAAGCAATAAACAGATTTAATACAATCTCTAGTAAGATCTCAATGGCATTCTTCACAGATACAGAATCCAAAAACAAAAATCCTAAAATTGACATAAAACCACAAAAGACCTTGAATAGCCAGGACAATCCTGAGGAAGGTAGCACTCCTGCATGCCTATGATTATGCAGGCATTTCTTTTCAAAAAGCTTTTTCCTTTGCAAAGCAGTTGTAGCAGCTGCTGTCCTGCCTACCTACAGCAAGCACCACTTTTCTTTCTCCTTTTCCTAATTAACCTGTACATTTAAAATATATTTTTAAATATTTATTTATTTATGCATACAAGAACTGGGGTACAAGCCAGAGGTGCAGAGGGAGAGAGGATTTACCAGAGACAGAATGGGGAACAGAGATTAACTGAAATACACTGCTGAGGGGAACAACAGGCAGGTCAGGAAAGGTGTGCCACGCCATATGGGTCACCTCCCTGGCCAGGAATCAAACTTATGCTGTAGTGGCTTCAGAGCACTTTCTAATGCTGTACTTTAACCCATTGGAGGGCCCAACTTTTAAAATATTTTTTTTAATCCTGAGGAAAAAAATAACAAAATGGCCTCAAACTATACTACAAAACAACAGTAATCAAAACAGTAAAGTTTTGATCTAGTGATTAAATCTAGTGATTAAAAACAGGCACACTGATCAACAGGATATAACTTAGAGGCAAGAAAAAGGCCACACATACACAATTAGTTTATGACAAAAGAGGCAAGAGCATATAATGGAGAAGGAAAAGCTCTTCAATAAATGGCACTGAGAAAACTGGACAGCCACATGTAAAAAAATGAAGCTATATCTTATACCAAATTTAAAATCAACTGTAAATGGATTAAAGTCTTGCATATAAGATCTGAACCCATAAAACACAAAGAAGCATAGGCAAAAAGATCTCTGACATCAGTATAGTGATGTCTTTATGGGTTCCCAGAGAAACAAAACAAATAGAAACAAATGGAGCTATCAATACAGCAAACTAAAGAGTTTCTGCAAAGCAAAATAAATTATTGTTAAAACAAAAGGGCAGCCTACTGAATGAGAGAAGGTATGTACAAACCATATATCATCCAAAATATATAAGCATTTAATACAATCCAAAAAAGATACAGCCAGATTTAAAAAAGGACAAAGATCAAAATAGACTTTTCACCCAAGAAGGCTATCCAAATAGCCAAC